TACATAGTTCAGGTTATTGAACTATTTGTAATTCAACGCTGATATTGTTGTTTATTCTAAAATTTTATGTTAATTTCATTTTTAAAATTTTCTTATATACATAGAAACTCTTGAATAGTGAAGGAAAGCTTTTATTTATCAAAACACTTTTAAATATGAGAAAAAAAATTAATAATTAATATACATATTATTTAAGTGGATAAAACTTAGTAACAAATTATTTAGGTGGATAAAACTTAGTAACAAATTATTTAGGTGGATAAAATATACAAAGAAATAAATAAAATTAAATACACATGTTAACAGAATAAACATTGCATGAATCTTCATATAAAATACATCAAATATTCTTCATATACAAATCATATATTCATCATATTCATATCCGCAAATGTCTATAGTACAATTTGACAACTCAGATCAAATGATATTTAATAAGAAAATAATACGGTAAATAAAATGTAATGCGAAAAAATACAATTCAGTTGAAATAAAACTTGATTAGAAAACTTATTCTGAAAATCATTAGAGGTGGGGGACGGAATTTGCCTTATTTAAGTTTCTTTAATTCCATAAATCTCATTTATTGTTGGGAAACATTTTCCTTGGTAAAGGCTAATAATTAAAAACCAGGAGATTCGGTGATCTACCGGGGGAGCCTAGGAAATGAGATGAAAAACCTGGAGTCTCTGGATAAGAACGGGAAAAATGGCAGTTATGCAATACATATCGCTTTCCTTTCAGGGTTTTGGTATCACACTAGTGTAAAATTAGGTTCATTAAAAATTTTTTGATAATTTTGATTTAAAAATTTGTCTTTAGCAATCCTACGATCACCATTAGCAGCTAATCGATCAGTTTTTTTTTTTTTTTTTTTTTTTTTTTTTTGAAACCGCCAAAATCAGTAAATTATGTTAATGATTCCAAACTTTATTTGGAAGAATAGATAAATTTAGATTATTTATTCTGGAAATATTTGGAAGAATAGATTATTTATTCTCCATCATTAAGCAAGCATATGAATCCATAAAAATAAATAAAATAATTTAAAAAATCGTCTCGACACTTGGGAGAGGGGGGGGATAAAAACTTGCATCGTACTTTCATTGCCAAATGCGCTCACGACCGGTGCTAGGATTTTAGCTACCTTGTGCTTTTCTAAATTCTAAACATTCCCCCACACTCTTTAAAATGAACCACCCTTAACGCGTACCAGTTATTTTATTTTATTTATTTATTTATTTATTTTTACTGACATTCACTGATTATATCTATTTCGATCTTATTTCTTATCCGATGAATGCGTTAGATATGTAATTTTTTCGCGGTTTTCCTAATATGCAACATTAATACAAGTTAAATTGCTTTAGAAAGCCTTAAATTTCTACCCGCATGTAATCCTCATGTGCTTTGCCATATTTACTTATTTCCATAAACATAAATATCTAAATGAAGGAAACCGGTTCAGTAAAAGGAAATTAAAAACTGATTGTCCTAATGAATAAAACTGAGAGAGCCTTAATAAACGGAGAAAATATATTTCACTTTTAGTACACAAGACAAAAAAACTATTGTTGTTTTCAACACCAAAAGTGCAGTTTCATTGTTATATCTTTCGCGCAAATACACTGGGAATAAAAATAAAAGAAACTTACGCTAGCACATCAAAGCAAAGTGGAATTTTCTTAATCCGAATGGAAGCTATTCAAAGGAAACATCTAAGCGTCTCTAAAATTGAAAAGCGTATACAATTTTGATTATGCATTCATTCACTACCGGTGCAATGCAGACTAGGTACTGCGGTGAAAAGCTAAGAATTCTTAAGGGCAATAACATCATAGTCGATCGCAGATTTATCGTCATTTCATGTATCAGAATCCTGTAACGCTAACGGCTGACTCCAAAGAGCCATAAAACTTAATTGCGGCATCCGCTTACATTTTCTTGACTGGTGAACATACACAGCTTGCTGAACTGAATAATAATAATAATAATAATAATAATAATAATAATAATAATAATACTAAGAAAGAACTCAAGAACATTCATATAAATGAACAAAAAATGCTCCATAATATTTAAAGAATTCAACGCTATTATTAAAATAAATATTAAAAGAAAAAGGGACTATGTTAATTTTAAATAAGAAAAATTATTAATCAAAGAACTTACATTGTTTCAGTAGCCCCTTTTCTTGAAGTAAAGCTGGAGTCATAGCTCTTTTCATGTATTTACTTCTGAATTTACGTGCTGCAATATAACATTAGTCAAATAATGCAATATAACTACTGTAACCTAAAACATTAGTCATATAAACATCCAAAGAAGAGGCTTAAGGAAGCAGGAAAAGATCTCTGGGGTATAGCTTGTTCTGCTACTTTAGGATCTTGCTGGAAGTGCTCTTGTTGATCATTTACTTTACCACTATTTGCTGAGCAGGAAAAACAATGTGCGACTTTTTAAAGGGAAGTTTGAATATTATTAATCAGTCCAAAAACAATTTTTGTAATATTTAGTCAATCTAGCTATATAGTCAAAGCCTTTACGCCTATTATTAAAAATTTGTACATAGACAGAAAATTCTATTGCAATTATATGTGAAAATGTAAGTAACTAGTAATGTAATTTCTGAGTAATGCAACGAGAAAAAACTTAGAGACAAGCTATGTCGGAAAAGTAAGAATAGAATACAGCAGTGGTGCCCAACCTTTGGTCCATCGCGAGCACATTTTGGCCTATCGCAAGCACATTTCCAAAACATCAACATTTTTGTTAAACATATTTCCAATCTTATGTGATACATCTGAAATATTAATTTCAGCAAATGGGTTTGAGATGAATAATAACATTGGTTAAACTTTATGAAAATCAGAGAAGCGGAGTTTAAAATTATTTTTGAGTGCATTTAGGTTTTCCGAGTATTTCTCTGTTTCAATTGTCTTGTGGTTATTAATATGGCTTGATAAATTCTGAAAATGGGTGAATTTTTATTATTTCATCTTAATTCATCCACAAATTTAACTTTATCTGAAAAGCACTTACAGTCCCAGTCAATTGAAAAGGGTGTTTTTTTTTTTTTTTTTTTTTTTTCTTTTTTCTTTTCGTTGGAGATCTTCGTTCAGTTTGTTCAGTTTCGCTGTTATATCTGTGAGAAAATACAGATCGGATAACCAATTATTATTATCGTCCAATTCATTATATCTTTCGTTTCCGGAGTCCAAAAACTGCTTTATTGGCGAAAGAAGTTCTAAAAATCGTTGAAGTACTTTTACCCTGCTGAGCCATCTGACATCGGAATGAAGCAATAAGATTCCATGTTCGCTATCACGTTCATTAGTCAACAATCAATTATTTTATAACGTCTTGCAAGATATCTCTTATGACTATAAATGCTTACCATATTTTAACAATTAAGAAATATAAATAAATAGTTATTTTAAAATATTTTTTGGTCATAGTACCTAATCGGGCTGGCGAGCACATACAAAACGATCGGCGAGCACAAGGTTGGGCACTACTGGAATATAGAGACAAGTCCATTTAACATTGAGTGAATGGTTATCTAGGTAATTTGGCGAGAAAATGCCAAAAATCGCCAAGATCAGGGACCATTTGGCGACATTTGTTCCGGTTCCTGTATCACTGTATTGTAATTGAATAAATGCAATTGATTACTATATTAGCTATAACCCTAATTCGATCCTCATATTGCCTTCCAGTAATTTCGAGAAGCAGAAAGTACTAGAAATATCTCGACGGCCGGGTGAACACTTTATAAAGCCGGTGAGAGCATCTGCTGTCAGTGGTTGTTAGCTGTTTGCTCAGGGTGAGTTTGGAGTGCTGAGATTTCTTCGGGTAGCTTTCTCTTTAGCTGCGCTTTGCATTGCGCTGTATTTAACGTTCATAGTAGTTAGAAGTTAACTACTGATTGCATTCTGTGATATTTTGAAGAGTTATACGACTATTTTAGTGGAAAGTTCCAGATCTCTGAAGTGTTTCTTATGATAATATAAATTTAATCAAGCTCTCATTGGACCTATGTGCATTCAATCTGTAACAAACCCATACGCACGCAACAATATAAATTTAGTAATAATACTTTTTCTCTGAAGTAGCGCTTCCTTTTCTACTTCACTCATAATAAGTTTACAAAAAATGTTAATTTTTCAGTGCCTGGCTAGATGAATTTTTTTCTTCAGCTTAGTTTTCACTAGAAGAAACTTTTTACAGCAGTATTAGGCAATTATCTCTTTTTGTCAATGCCTTCACTAAATATTTTATCAGACACAGTTTTATGAAAATTGACGACAAAAGATTTTTAAATTTTATAGCAAGACTCTGGCATAAAACTTTTTGCCCTCAGGTTGAAAAGATTCTTTTATTGACGGATATTTTTTTCCTGGTGTCAATACTTTTTCTTCTATTATAGCGATTCACGTAGGTTTTCAAACTTTATCCATCAGGCAAAGGTACAGCATTAGAGCTTCTATTAGGAATAAATAAATGGTAATTTAAAATTCACAATTTCTGATAAAATTAATAACAAAGTCTTAAGCTATTGCCTAAAAATGCATTTAAAAACTTTTTTTATAATTAGTTTAAAAGTTTGCAATTAAAATAAGCAAATATTTACAAACATAGTGCATAATAAAAATAAAATGTCTGAAAACAATCATATATGATGCATAACTTTTAATCCCACTTTTGAATTCGTTGTCCAAAATAGTATCAAAAGCAATTCAAATCATGCAAAATGCTTTTCATCATATGCTTATGCTATTAAACATAACAATAACTTAATATGTGACTTATCAAAAACTTTAATATACATGGAAATACAAGATATAGGAGTTCCAGGTAGCAAAAATTTATTGCAATCCTTGAAAACTATTGCATATGCTTATTTAATAATTTGTACTGAATACATAAATTATGCATACGTTACATATGAAAAATTATGCCTTAAATTTAGAAACGATAAACATTTTATAGGTCTGAAAAATGGCTGATAGAAGAACTAAATTTAAAATTCCTGGGAAGAAAATAAATAGAGATAAAATCTCTATTCAAACTATACAGCAAGAAAAAACGACGACTACTTCAACTAAAGGCAAACCAAATTTAAAAAGGAAAAAAGACAAGTGTAACGAAGATAAGCATAACTCTCTTGTTAATGAACATTCATCTAACTTGGATGATACTGAAAATAAGCACAGAATAAAAACAGATATCTTGCCAAAGCATAAAAAGCCAAAACTATCACCTGCTAAACTAAAAAATGAAGACAACTGCATGAATGAAGACTATCACTCTTTAAATAGCATTATAGATTACGAAGAAGAAAAGAAATATTTGATTCCAGTCTCTAATCATGCAGATAATTCTCCATCAAATGTAGTTTCTCCAGAAATGGGAAACAGAAAAGTAAATGACATCAAGAATCCAGATTCTAATAAAAACATGAGTTTAATTACAGATAATTCACAGGATGCAGTTTTATCTAATCACAATGCAAAATGTTCAGCAATGGAAATATCCTTTGATACACAACAAACAGTCAATAAGCTGAAACCTTCTACATTATGTTTTGAAGAGATTTTCTGTAATAATGAACATTATAAGCCAATTCACAAAGAAAAGGAAAATAAAATGGAAGAAAAGGCTATCACATCTTACACTAAAAAAGAAAATGAATGCAGAGAGCTTGGAAAATTTGAGGATAAAAGTAATAGGGTATTTACAACAAAAGAACAAGAAATAAACTTACAAAATGAAAACGAAAATGAATCAAACGAAAAAAGTGTTGAGGCGACTGAAGAATTAAAATCAAAAATCAAGCCACAGATAGAAAAACTGGAAGTGGCTGAATTTTGTAAAGGAGCTGTATCAGGTGCTATGAATGAAGGCATTGATACAATTATAGAATGTGTTAATCCCTTGGTAACAGATAATAACAACCTTAGTGTTATACCTCAAACAAAATCCAGTGAACTTGCAATATATAAGGAAAGTAATATTGTTATGAGTGAACAAAGTACATGTTTTAATCAGAAAGAACAGAATGCTAATCTGAATAAATCTTCTGAATACGAAGTGGAACAAAATTCAAATACACATGATGAAATGAATGAAAGCATTATAGAAACGCAGAAAATAACATATGTAATGACAGAAAGAAAGAACACAATCAAAGTCATAGATACATCAAATTTAAAGGCAGAAGAATGCAAAGTTAAGCAAAACACACTACCTAATAACAATAGCATTATTGAATCAACAGATTCAGATAAAAGAAACAAATTACAGCTCGATGCAGAATATAAAACATGCATAAACAAAGAAACAATATTCAAAAAATTATTCACGATTCCTCATATTAATGCATTAGAATATGATAAACAGTGCAAATATAATGTTGATTCGGATATGAATGTACATGATAAAACAACTTTAAGATTTATTAATAAGAATGATAATCATTTACATTTTCCCTTAAGAGAAAATCAGTGTCAAAATAATATAGAAGACATACACCATTCAACTAATATAGAAAGTGTACATATCTTAGAAGATAAACAGAGCAGTAACGATATGATGAATAATAATGGCAAAATGAATAAAATTAAAAATTTTAGTGATGAAGAACGAACGGCAGAAACGCCGCAACATTTAACAGAAGATAAGAAAGGTAATGCAAATGACAGTACAAAACAAATACAGGTGTCAGATCTAAGCAAATATTCAAATACTAAACTTCAAAATAATATTGCAAATGAAAATAATTTTTCCTCTTCTCATCAAATGTTTAACACTAAATCCTCCAAATTAATTAAGGAACTTCAAGAAATTTCAAAAAACATATTCAAAGAAAATATATTTGATGAAAAAGAGCTGAAAACAGGGAGCATTGTTTTGAATGAGAACATGGAGAAAGATGAGGGAAATCTTATTCCTATTGGAAAATTTGCACATCTGAATGAATTGTTCCAGTACAATAAAGATACAGAAAGTGTTGATGTAAAAAATTTATCAATTCAGGTTATTGCTAATTCAAATGAACATTCAGTTGGAATAGTGGAAGACAAAGCAAATCAACGTTCTGATCAAACAGATTCTGAAACAAAAATCAATAACCCAAATAACATAAAAAATGATATTGGAAACCTAATAAATGCACCTTTTTTAACCACAGCAATGGATTATATTAAAGCAAAATCAGAAGTCATTCTATGTAAAGATGTTACAAATAATACAAAAAATATAAACACACAAACTTCCATAAAATCTCCACAGGAAATAACACAAATATTTTCAACTGAACAAAATGTAAAAGAGAAAGACGAGAAAGACGCTACCAAACAAGACATAAAAGAAAAAGACCCTGCTGATTTTACTGGTAAGTCCTAATAATTATGTTTAAAACTAAACCGAGTTCAATGTTTTTACATATATCCATTGCCTCATGCTCGTTTTTTATTCCTTTAGTAAGATAATTAGTTCTAATAGAACAGCAAAAATATAGTCTGTATCATGAACAAAAATGAGATAAGAAACAATCAATTGCTCATATAAGGCAAACTGAAATATTTTGACTTCCTATGTAGCTGATTTCAAGAATACGAATATTTAAAGTTTCTCATAATCAGAAATTACTGTAAAATATTTAAAAGCATACCTCCTTCTACAGTAATAATTTTAAATATCCTAGAGTAATCAGAAATTACTCTAAAACATTTAAAAGTATACAAACAGATTAATTTTGTAATGACCTATCTATATTAATAAATATATTAATATATAAGTTATACAAGATGTATAATTAGCTATATTAATAAGAACACATTTAAGTATTGCAATTTTTTATTTATCTGATCATGCAAATTAATAAACTGCAGTTCTTTGATGCCCTCCTTAGTTTTACATACTAGATATTTTAAAGTTATTGTGTCTTTAGAAAAAAAGTTAATCCAATGTCAGTACGGTATTAAAATATCACTGATATTGTTTTAACCCTTGCCTCATAATGTCTTGAGAAAGGTTCAATGATAGTAAAATCAATGTGGTGTAAAAATATGATTATTTTAATTTGAAGATAATTCACAGGCATAATGTGAATATTTAAAGAACAATGTACCTCATTTGTAATCCTAAAATTAATTCAACAGATAGTTTAACAAAATCTCTAAATATAAAAATTACTAGAATTTCTAGCTTTAATTTGATATACTTCAAAGTTAAAAAAAAACTACTACTTTCCTTCCTTTTAAAATTATAACACTTAAAGGGGGGACTGAAAAGTAATCCTTATTCCATTTTGATACAAAGGAGTTCGCTAATAATTATAAAATACTTTTTTACTTTTAATCTATCAAAACACACAATTCTTGAATTTATGTGTAATTTCTTTTAAACAATTTCTGAATTTCATTAATGAAAATTCAGGTGTATATTAGTAACGACTATGTGTATCAATTACTTTTGTTTACTAAATGTACTTTTTTAAAATTAGAAACTGATGATGACTTGGATATGGATGATGGCTTTGCACTGACTGCTTCACAATTAAGTATGCTAGAGGCCAATGAAAAAATGGAGATGCATTCTTCTTCTAATAAAAGCACCAGCCAACAAACAGATAAAAGTGATTATATTTGGCAAGAAAACAATTATGTGGCATCTGAAATAATAAAAGAGCTCCGTTTTTTGAGGTACAGTTAGAAATGTTAAATTTAATTTCTTATTGTATCATTTTGAGTAAAAAAGCTCAAAACCAACTTACGGAGAATACAGGCTGGATATAGATTTTATTTCTGGCTTTATAACAAATTTTTACTTATATATACATGTTAACGCTAAAGTGCCAAAGCCGTTAATGTGCACATTACCAAGTTAATCCGCAGATTAACTGATTTGCTCCGGGAAAGTGCGGAATCGACAGTTTTTCGCATTTTACTTAGGTAATGTGCCCATTAACGGCTTCTGTATCGTTAAAGTTCAAACGTTTGTTTCTTTCACATCCTTTCTTGCCCACCAGCGGCCAAGCGGTAAAGTCGCTGAACACTGTTAGTTCGGTCGGAAGTTCGAATCCCGAGAACGGGCTGGCTGCATGGGCATTTTCGTGGTTTTCCCATGTGTAACATGTATACGAATCTTTCACGAAGGCGTCCCTCCCCTTAGGCAGATAGCCCTCGAAGCCTCAATCACATAAAAACTAAACCAAAACCTCATTTCCTTTCCCTTTCCCTCCACTCTGCACATTACCCACTAGGCACTCGCTAATCTGCACATTGCCTACTAGGCGCTCATTAAACTGAAAACAAGGTCTTTGCTGGAACAACAGCAGCGTTTCTGTACGCTTAAATTAACATAATGATGTTATTTATTAATTTTTCGATATCTAAGAAATCAAGTTAATATAATCAAACAGTCAACAAATTAGTTCATACAATCAATCAACAATCAGTTAAAAAAACTATAATACAAAGAATAAAACAGTTTAAAATATTATTACAATTAAGGAAATGAATTTGCAAAAAGTATGATAAATTATACTTATTAGTGCAATCTAATGACTGGTCACACTTACAATTAAATTACATGGCATTGGAATTACATAGCAATTGGATTTTACGACAAACACAACTATTTGTAAAACATTTAAATTTGCATTAACATTTAGATTTGCGTTAACATTTTCTGAAATGATCAACAGTTTAAAAGTGTATGCAAGTAGCGGCTGTTTTAAGCGTACAGAAACGTTGCTGTTGTTCCAACAAAGATCTTATTTTCACTTTAACGATTGATTGCCTAGTAAGTAATACGCAGATTACCTACGTAATTTTGAGGTTAACTGGGTAATTTGAGAAACGAAATAATTTTTCGCACTCGGATCACCTTAGTTAATCTGCAGATGAGCTAGATAATCTACAGAATAATTGATTTCCGCACTTTGGGGGTAACATGTAAGCTGTTTGATAGGGAAAAATGATTTTTTCTAATTTTTTTCGAGAATGATTTATTTATCCTCAAATTTTTCCTACAGTAAGTTGATATCAATGTAATCATCATTAACTGTAATTCTGTAAAAATCTAATGGCTAAACATGTATTGTAGATAATATTCACGACGTTCGTCCATACTATTTATTGTTAACCATGAAAACAAAATATAAACAAAAAAATTTTACATGGTATTAGATCTGGATTAAACTGTCGATAAGAAATACATTCAATGCTATTTCTGGCTAGATATTGTGTCAAATTGTATGCCGTTGGCTCATGTGATATAGTGAAGCGGGCATCACGAAGAAGGGTGCAGCCCAAACATTTACTTTGAAAACGATTCCCTAGTTTCATCAAAACTGATACTATTATGCCATAACTGTACGCTTTAAAGAACCTATTTTATTGGCATGCCAAACTTTCTCCCCGTTTGCTTGATTACTTACCTTCTTTCAAAACTTTGAACCATCAAAATATAACAGAACAAGGAATGTATTCTTCAGATCATTTCACATATTAGTGTTTTGCCTATACAGCCGAGACTTCAAGATCTGGACTCATCAGGACTTTGCAGACTCTGTATTTTAATATATAAGTTTGAAACTACTAAGATGACATGTAAAAATTACAAAATTAAAAATATGAAATACTTGTTTATGAAGAAAATAAAATATTTATAACCTTAAAGGAATGAAAATTTACCCCTCCCCTCCCCCAAAAGAGCTTAATAATTTTTTTTTTTTTTTTTTTTTTTTTTTTTTTGTTTCATTAAACATTTATTTCAATGTAAATTGTTAAATCTGTTCCTTTTTACTTTCTTGTACGAAGTAAAAAGAAAGTATTGTAATCGCGAAAAATTCCGGATATCATATTTTAACGAAAGTGTCCATTTTGACTACTATCGAATGCAATTTAACGATGTTTTTGCATGACATTTGTACTTAAGGACAGAATAACGGACTCTTTTTCCCCAAACGAATTATAAAACTAATTTAAAATTAACTCAGAAGAGTTTTTTTTCGTGGCGTCTATACGTACGTGCGTACAAATGTATGTATGAATGTATCTCACATAACTCAAAAACGAATAATCTCAAAACATTGAAATTTTGTATGTGGGACTGCTTCAACATGTGGATGTGCGCCTCCCTTTTTGGTTTCAATCGGCGGCACCAAAAGTATATAAATATATGTATATATATATCCACTCTGTTATTCGGCTCAGTGAGCTCAGTTTCTTTATTCTTATATGTTTGTAAACTGTACATTTTTTGCTTTGAAAATTATTGAATATGTTGTTCTTATCTTCCGGTTAAGGTTTTTATGCCTTTAGTTAACCTGCATGTTTTAGTTGTATAATTATCAACCATTTAAAAATTAAATAATTTTACTTAAATAAGTATGGCTAAGCCTAATTTTTTTAACACCTTAGCAGCCATATTTGTTTACATTTGAAACTTAGCAGAATAGTGGATTTGTTGCCAATCTAGAAAAACCTAAACTTCGCAACAACAAAGTAACGTCTTCTTTTATTATTGCGAATTAAATTATGCTTATATCTATTCTGGAATTATCATTTAAGTTATTAAATTATTCCATATATTGACTCAGCGTCCACAACAAATTAAGTCAGTTTCTACGCCTTCAGTGTCTTTTTGCCGAGTGAGACTGAAAGTAAACTTTCAGTTTTGTGCACCGAAAAATCATATATCTTCTTGCCCGCTAGAGTAACGCATGCGCATTAAGTAAGCACGCTGAATCGTCTGTGTGTGTGTGTGATTATGGCAAAGCCACGAGGGCTATCTGCCTAAGAGGAGAGCTGCCTTCGTGGAGGTCTTCCTAAGGGTAACTGGCTCGTATGCACGTTACACATGCGGAAAACCACGAAAACGCCCATGCAGCCAGCCCGTTTGCGGGATTCGAACCTCGGACCGAACTACCAGTGTTCAGCGACTTTACCGCTCGGCCGCTGGTGGGCCCTGAATCGTCTGTGAAAAGCTGTTTAGTTTTTAATTGTTTAACTTCTTTTATACATCGTTTTGGATTTACTATAGTATTTGAATAGAACATGTGGCAACGATTAGATAATTCTTTAGATGATATATATTTTTTTACTTTCTGAGTTATAAAATGAATGAGATGTAACGCTGTTTAAAGTGAATCTAGCGCCAGAGTATCGCTATGGTAAATAAATATAGTGAATTTTAAAAAGCGCATTTATTCTATTGTGGTTTAGGCGCTATCGATGAAGTAGATTTCATTCAATTCAATAAGTTTATATGAAATGCAGGACAAAATGCGCATAATATAATACTTCGTACAAGGAAGTCGTGTAAGGCTTCCTTGGTCCCTTATGTGACGCATGTGGGGCTTCCACGTGGGGCATCAAATTTTTTTTAATGCTTATTAGTTTCAATAGTTTGTTCAACTCCCTTGATTATATTTTGATTCCATGTATTATAGCAACTTTTACTTAGTTTATAGAGTCATTGCCGTCACTGGGATTGGATCTAGACCTCTCGAATACACCTCGAGTGTGCTACCATTACACCAGGAAGGCATACTGGAAGGAAAAAATAAACTACCTTATAAGTTATAAACACATCTTAAGTGATTAAAAGTCAGTCATAATAAATTCATAATAAAGCCATTATTACAACTTTATTATGAATTCTTTGCCATTATTCAAAGTCATAATAAAGCCATTATTATGATATTATCATGAGTGATTAGTTAAAAAAAAAGACTGGAGCTGAACGAGCAACTTGAAATGGATGTAGGAGAGTGATTAGTTCCAAAAAAACTGGAGCTGACATAACAGCTTGAAATCGATGTGGGAGATTTATGGCATCAAAAGGCAAATATTTTCTAAATTTCAATAAAAAAAAAAAGAAAAGTGAGAAAAAGAAACCTAACAATTTGCATTTAAGGATAATGCAAGTCCAAACTCCCTTTACACAACTTTTTTTCAATTAATATTAATTTTTAAGTAATGGTAATTGTGTTCTGTTTTTGGCATTCGCTTTCTAACCATTTTTCAAACTTTTTATATATGCAATAAATAAAATAAAATACTGTAATTTATAATTTTATTTCATTTTTGACATCAAACACTCTAGTAAATTGAGGGTTTACTGCTTTCGAAGATTTATTCATAAAATGATTCTAAAATAACTTATGCTTGATAAATTCTGTTTCATATTTTATCAAGCATAAGTTAACTCTGAACAAGTTATCAAGCTAACTCTGAACTCCATACATTAACTTTAAACTTAACCCTTTCCGGCGCGCTACCTTTTAAAGTTTTAGTTTTGTTAAAAAAAAAAAAAAAAGGGTAGGCAGTCTAATTAGGCCTAGAGGAGTACACAAGAAAAATTTTGTGAAGATAGCACTTATCATTTTAATTATGTGGGTGTGCCGAAAGTGGGCCCACTGATTGAATAGAGCTTCGAAAAGAGTGCTGAAACGAGCATTGTTGTCAATGAACTGACCGATGAGATGCGGAGAAATAAAGAATACAAACTCTCAGTTGTCCTAGATTATCGGTGAGTCCGGTCTGGGAACACCTAGGGTTCGCAGTTTGATTTTAGGCAAGATTTCAAGGTAAAAATTTAAAACTAATATAGAATAAGGAGATTAGCATACAGCCAAAAAAATAACATAGAAATTACTTTTCAAACAATTCCTTTTATATCCTAAAAAAAATCT